ACTTTGATCTTTTGGCACAGAAAGGTTGAAATCACACGAGATTGTGGAATTCTTGATAACAGTTTTCAAGCTTTGCAGATCACTCGACAAAGCTGGCAGCCAAACGAAGACCTGACACAGCGGTTTCCAGCCGTTTTCCTTTTTGCCTTTACACAGGCCTGACAAGCCCGTTTTGCCTCTGAGAACTGGACCAGATCATGACCAGGGATTATATTCCTCTTAAGTGCCACAGCTACCTTGCATGCTCCCTCCACACTTGCTCGCTTTCTGACACAGGTTTGTCCGGAGAGCTGATGTATCAGAGCTACTTTGAAGTTTTTCAAAGAGAAAAATCTTGTTTTTTGGTAGCGGCCTATTGCACAAACATTTTAGAATATAGGCGTTGATGATGCTGATATTCAAGAGCGCAAAGAAAAGGTAGCGCCACCATTTCTTTCCCGCATGCCCAACATTATAATAACTCCGGAATTGGTCTAGATGATTAACACCTCCCATACTGGCATTGGAATGTCGATCATCTCGTCATGGCGGAATCTTGTCCTGTTGCGGCGTTGCTTCTGGGTGTCTGATCCGTCATTGTTGGATGAAATCATGAACACATCCTTCTTGTCTCGCCATCGTGCCACTATCACCTCATTTCCATTAGCTTTTTTCAGACTCTGACCTCTCTCCAAACGCCCTTCAAGATTGGGAAGTCCTCTACGATTTTTACGTATTGATCCCACAATATTAGGTGTCAGCCTTTTTCAAGTCCTCAACAAGTTTTATTGACGAAAAGAAATTGTCTGCATACACATGGTGACGCTTTATGGTGTAACTTTGGACGAGATCCATCACCCCGTTATAGGCTAGTCCTCCTCTGGGTTCTTCTTTCCTGCCAGTGTATACTTCAAAGCCTAAGCAGTATCCAGTCTGGGCATCACACAGGCACCATACTTTTATTCCCCACTTGACAGTTTTTTTGGCATGTACTGCTTCCATGCCAAGCGACCGTTGAACTTGATCATGGCCTCATCCACAGACAATGATTTTCCTGGAGTGAGGAGCTGCGGAAAGCTTTCCTGAAGAGATGTGATGAAGGGACGTACTTTCGACAATTTATCATTTTCATCATGCTGCACATTAGGATCTGTGACATGAAGATACCTCACCAATTCCTCATACCGCTTACGAGGAATCTTGGATCTTATGAAGTCATCACCAAGTACGGGGTCTGTTGACCAATAATCTTTGTAGTCTGGCATTATTTTGATGCCCATCATAATTTGAATGGCTATAAACAGATTCATTTCGGTTGCGGTAGTATCTTGCCATTTGTTTGCACCCTGGTAAGCTGCATAATTATTTGTTGAATTAGCTAAATCAACAAAAAAGTCAGCTCTAAATACAGCCATCAGAATGTCTATCTCAGGTGCATCAAATGGTAAATTGCATTTAGGTCCAGCTGGCTCCATGTACTCATGGATAACTGGATGTGGCATGGTGTCAGTCCAGTCAGGGTCATCTACAGCTCTAGCAACACCTTGTCCATTTCCTCTTTCTCGGACACATCCTCGACCCCTTCCACGACAACGACCACGTCCTCGACCTCTTCCACGACCATGGCCACGACTAATTGGAGGATTCTGATCGGAAGAGGAATCAAGCTCACGCTGTGGCTGTGATGAATCACTTTCGTTACCATGGTCTGATGCATCATCACTTTCTTGGTCATTCTGTAAAGGCACAATGAATGAGAGAATTAGAAATTGTTAAAATACGCCGGTCACGGGCACACGACCGATAATAATCGCCCGGCGTAAATAATCGCCCGAAAATATCTAACATTTTGGATACGGGCGATTCGGTCGGCCGATTAAAATCGGCGTCGACGTGAACGGGCACACGGGCGATTTATTCGAGCGATTTCAAAATTCGCGGCGATTGGGCGATAAAAATCGCTCGTGTGCCCCTACCATTAGACACCAAGTGAACGTTTTCGAACTGCTAGTCTAGAATCTTCCTTGCATGTCGGTATCCACGATCCCCACCGATGAGGGCACAGGATCGTATCGCATCCTTTGCTTTATGGCTGGTATATTGTAATAGCCTTGTAAGCTTCAATTGTCCATCACCGGTGACCTCCGCACTCTCGTCAAATACTGCCATGAAGGAATGGTAATTGAAGGGGTCGCCACTGAAAGCCTCTATCTCCATCCTCGGGAGATTCATTTGATTTAACAGAGCCGATGTCACCCACCGCAGGCGTTGTTCCTCCCATCGCACTTTTCTTTATGCTGTCTCTTGCTTCACCCTTACATTCACCATGTCGAGGGTTTTTACATATGCGTCCTGCACTTCGGTGAGATATCTGTCGGATTCGTCTATGTCCGTTTCCTCGTCTAAGGTTGCCGTGTAACGCTCGTTGCGTTGCTTCAGCTTATCAGTCCTTTGCGTTACTTCTTCTGCTGTCCTATCTTCTGCAATTAACCGCTTAACCATATTCTCTTCAATTGTCACGAGTCATTTCAGCTGTCGTCTTGAACCTTTATCATGCTCCGCCATCTTGTCTTCTTTATTCATGTCATGTAATCTTGATATACTTTTTCACTGTAGCCGCAGCACACCAAAAAATGACAGGCAACTCAACGCATTTTCCTTGTTACTCGTTTTATTTCGCACTCAGTACCACAGAGTGTGGCACACACTGCAGTACAGGTGAAACTGCAACACAAATTCGTACTTCTTTTAAAACCCAGTTTATTTTACATGTATTATATAATTTAACCAAACCCTAGCATTATATTTGTCTCAGAACTAAAGAGTGAATTAAACTCTGTAACCTGTAGATTAGACCAGTTGCAGTGACATAAAGGGAAAAATATAATACTCACAAGTATATACGAGCTCTCTTGCACACAACATGCCGCGACTAACGTATCATGCCAAACTAAACTAGAAATGCCACGTTCTAAACCAGCCCAATCCCAGAGAAGCCGAATACTAAATGAAAGGGGCCCAGGACGAGCAAACGCGCGACCGGCAGTACATAATTCATGAACAAATAACAATGGGGCACTCTACTCAACAATTATCGCATCCTGGCGGTAACAAGTACAATGAACACAAAATATTATAATTTTATGAAAGTTCACTTTGATCTTTTGGCACAGAAAGGTTGAAATCACACGAGATTGTAGAATTCTTGATAACAGTTTCCAGCTTTGCAGAGATTCACTCGACAAAGCTGGCAGCCAAACGAAGACCTGACACAGCGGTTTCCAGCCGTTTTCCTTTTTGCCTTTACACAGGCCTGACAAGCCCGTTTTGCCTCTGAGAACTGGACCAGATCATGACCAGGGATTATATTCCTCTTAAGTGCCACAGCTACCTTGCATGCTCCCTCCACATTTGCTCGCTTTCTGAGACAGGTTTGTCCGGAGAGCTGATGTATCAGAGCTACTTTGAAGTTTTTCAAAGAGAAAAATCGATTGTTTTTTGGTAGCGGCCTGTTGCACAAACATTTTAGAATATAGGTGTTGATGATGCTGATATTCAAGAGCGCAAAGAAAAGGTAGCACCACCATTTCTTTCCCGCACGCCCAACATTATAATAACTCCGGAATTGATCTAGATGATTAACACCTCCCATACTGGCATTGGAATGTCAATCATCTCGTCATGGCGGAATCTTGTCCTCGGCTTCTGGGTGTATGACCCGTCATTGTTGGATGAAATCATGAACACATCCCTCTTGTCTCGCCATCGTGCCACTATCACCTCATTTCCATTAGCTTTTTTCACACTCTGACCTCTCTCCAAACGCCCATCAAGATTGGGAAGTCCTCTACGATTTTTACGTATTGTCCCACAATAGTAGGTGTCAGCCTTTTTCAAGTCCTCAACAAGTTTTATTGACGAAAAGAAATTGTCTGCATACACATGGTGACGCTTCATGGTGTAACTTTCGACGAGATCCATCACCACGTTATAGCCAAGTCCTCCTCTGGGTTCTTCTTTCCTGCCAGTGTATACTTCAAAGCCTAAGCAGTATCCAGTCTGGGCATCACACAGGCACCATACTTTTATTCCCCACTTGACAGTTTTTTTGGCATGTACTGCTTCCATGCCAAGCGACCGTTGAACTTGATCATGGCCTCATCCACAGACAATGATTTTCCTGGAGTGAGGAGCTGCGGAAAGCTTTCCTGAAGAGATGTAATGAAGGGACGTACTTTCGACAATTTATCATTTTCACTATGCTGCACATTAGGATCTGTGACATGAAGATACCTCACCAATTCCTCATACCGCTTACGAGGAATCTTGGATCTTATGAAGTCATCACCAAGTACGGGGTCTGTTGACCAATAATCTTTGCAGTCTGGCATTATTTTGATGCCCATCATAATTTGAATGGCTATAAATAGATTCATTTCGGTTGCGTCAGTATCTTGTCATTTGTTTGCAGCCTTGTATGCTGCATAATTATTTGTTGAATTAGCTAAATCAACAAAAAAGTCAGCTCTAAGTTCAGCCATCAGAAAGTCTATCTCAGGTGCATCAAATGGTAAATTGTATTTAGGTCCAGCTGGCTTCATGTACTCATGGATAACTGGATGTGGCATGGTGTCAGTCCAGTCAGGGTCATCTACAGCTATAGCAGCACCTTGTCCATTTCCTCTTTCTCGGACACATCCTCGACCCCTTCCACGACCACGACCACGTCCTCGACCCCTTCCACGACTAATTGGAGGATTCTGATCGGAAGAGGAATCAAGCTCACGCTGTGGCTGTGATGAATCACTTTCGTTACCATGGTCTGATGCATCATCACTTTCTTGGTCATTCTGTAAAGGCACAATGAATGAGAGAATTAGAAATTGTTTTGTAAGCTCTAATAAACTGGTATCGGCAATAGATGCTTTTAGAATAATTTGTATGACTTTATACTGTAACAATTTACAGAGAGAACAATATATAAATTTAGCAAATTGTTGACATCGGGCACCACAGACACATTCAAGTGCTCATTTAGATAATGTTTTTATATTGATGTTATTGAATTGAAACCTAATATTTTTGTAATGCACACTATTGCATACTTTAGCAAACTTTTGCATAGAAAATAGGCCAAAAATACACCTTCATTCAAACTAGCTACCTTCATGATCAATGTAGTGAATTCATGCTTATGGTTTAGTAAAAAAATGTTGCTAGCTTCAATAGTACATGTGCCTATGTCACGACACGGTCTCGCTTGTTTACAAACAAAGGCAGAATTTACATCGGAACAAAAACAGCCAAAATCTTCATAAATAGGCTAGCTAAACATCCGTAATTTTCAACTAGACCCTGCCTGACAGTTCACCAATACTTATTTTGCAATCAAGTATGAAAATCTAGCGATATTTTAGGGTGTCTTGAACCAGAACAATCCTTGGCCGCATGGGCCACCAGACACGAGCGCTACTAACTACGCAGTAAGATCATGTTGACATGAGAATGTGACAAACGTTGTCTTACTTCAATATTTACGTTGATATCTGACCCTGAATCTCCACCGGAATACTCATCCTCTGTTTCGTCATCATCGTCGATCATTTCAGCAACCATAGCAGCAGTATAACGCCCTGAGTCCACATGAGCCTGAAGACCGCAATACAAAATACACATGCAGGTCCCAAATATATATATATATATATATAATATATAATATATTATATATATATATATATATATATATATAGACTATCAGAAAAGAAATAAGCGCTCACAGACGCATGACTAATTAAAGCACAACAATGGGGTTAGCGCTAGAAACAGTTGCCGTTGGAGGGCAGCACATCTGCAGAGGTGAAGATTATCCGCGTACCCATATGCCACACCCGGGATAGAGTGGGGGAAGTGGGTGTTTATTCTCTTTGTTGTTGCTGCAGAGTTATTACTATGTTTATTTGAGTTCATGTATGTATGTAGGTACATGTATGACCTGCAGAAGAGCCCCTACTGTCGTACACACCTATATTCGCGCTGACAATATATATGCGTGCGTGGTGTCACGTCCACGATGGTGTGCGTGCCGTGCGTGCAGTGCATGGCGTGCGTATGTACGTGCGTGCGTGCGTGTGAACGTACACATGCGTGCGTGCGTTTGCACGTACAGTATGTGCGTGCGTGCGTGTGTACGTAGCACATGCGTGCAGTGCGTGCGTGTGTGCGTGCGTGTAACGTGCACGTGTGTGTGTGCGTGTAAACGTGCACATGTGTGGTCATACATGTACGTGCATGCGTGCGTGTGCAGGTACACGTGTGTGCGTGCGTGTGCACGTACTCGTGCGTGCATGCGTGCGTGTGTACGTACCCGGTGCGTGCATCGCGTACGTGTGCTTGCGTGCGTGCGTATTCACCGCCACAGGTGCGTGCATGCGTGCGTATGTACGTGCGGGCGTGCGCTGTGCACGAGTACACATGCGTGCATGCGTGCGTGCGTTTGCACGTACACGTATGTGCGTGCGTGCGTGCATGTGTACGTACACATGGGTGCATGCGTGCGTGTAAACGTGCACGTGTGTGCGTGCGGTGCGTTGTAGTCATACATGTAGTGCATGCGTGCGGTTGTCAGGTACACGTGTGTGCATGCGTGCGTGCGTGCGTGCGTGTGCACCGTCCACAGTGTATGGGTGCGTGCGTGGGTGCGTGCCGTGTGCACGTACATGTGCGCACGTAAAAGTGTGCTGCGTGCGTGTGTGCGTTGCGTGCGTGCATGGCGTACGTGTGTGCATGCGTCCATATGTGAAGTGGGTGTTTATTTCTTTTGTGTGTGCTGAGGAGTTATGTAATATGTTTATTGAGATTTCACGGTGATACTAGTGGTGCATACGAAATATAGCACAAGTACCTGGTACCAGATAGCTTGGTACCTCATACTAGAGACACCTGGGGCCGTCTGCCAGAAAAAAAATTAGTCTTAACATTAACCTTAAACTTAAGTTTTCTCTTAAAGCGTTGCCAGAACACTTCGCTAAAGTTAAGAGAATTAAAAATTCTCGTAACTTTTCTCTTAACTTAAGAGA